TCAGCTCTTGCAGGTTGTTGAAACTTTTATTTTGGTTTGCATCATTAGGTTGCCCTCGCTCAATCTAGCTCGAGTGCTTCCCGAGGTCTTCAAGAAAGAGCTGCAGGTGCCCTTTCGAGATTGTCGGTATCAGAAACTAACAGGTATTTGAGGAAACTTCTTGACCGTAATTGTTTAATGTTTCAACTTACGTGATAATATTTGCTGAACAAGTTCTTAGGTGAAAGTTCCCCTTTGCTTTGGTGATGTATACTTGTAAAAAGATCTTTTCTTGTAACTCAAATGCGAGTAACCTAGACCGTGTTCATGCTATTTAGTTTAGAGTTTGAGGGATTTACTACATGTGTGAAACCTTAAAACTCTAGACGTAATTCATCTTCAGAGTTCCGTGTCTTGACAAAATGTTTGATCTACGATTATTTAGGCCTCAGTTTATGTCAAACTGAAAGAAGCAATCTCTTTTCTTTTTGATTTATTTTTTTTGGTTATAGATAGCCTTTTCAATATACATTATAGCAGTGTATATTAATTTTTCTTGAAGGATATATCTTAGCAATTTATGATTCTAATTGCTGTATTTTCTATTAATGCAGCATTGCTATCGGAAGACAAGGTGGTATTGCTCCACTTATTGTCTTAGCACGTTCAGATATTGAAGTAAGCTTCTCACTCTTTGCTTGCTTAGATTATTCATTATTTTCAAAACTAGTTTAAGATTTTTCTAGCATTAACTGTGGTTTTATGAATATTCTCTATGTTACTGTTAGTGCAATTGCTTTTGGCCCTGATTACCGAGAATCTAAAGTTGATGTAAATTGACAGGTTAGATTAATGTTAGGCTTTGGCCAATAAGGGGTATTTAGAGAATTAACTTCAGTGTTTATCCTTAAGAGTTTGGCCAATAAGGGGTATTTAGAGAATTAACTTCAGTGTTTATCCTTAAGAGTTTGGCCAATAAGGGGTATTTGTACAATACCAAGGATTATGGACCCTATAAATATGTAATGTCCTTTGACTATTTTTCTCAAACAATAAAATATACAAAAAGCCTTTTGGCAATTGTTTGGACGTTGATCCCCTCGAAATGATCAAATTTTACTTTTTCTTGTTAGTTTTCCGAATTCTCTTTCGATAGAACCCTAGGTTCTTATCAATATTCTAACCATAAACTAAGGTTTAGTATATGATTGGTTTTCAGGATGTCCACGAGACTGCTGCTGGAGCACTCTGGAATTAGGCGTTTTATCGTGAAAATGCTCTCCATATAGTACAAGATGGTGGAGTTAAACCTCTCATTCATCTATGCTCTTCATCAATATCAAAAATGGCTCGTTTTATGGCTGCATTAGCCTTAGTTTACATATTCGATGGAACGTATGTCAAACTACTTTTTGCTAGTTGGCAATTTGGATTCCTAGTTTCAATGGTTGGGAGCCTCAAATATATAGATAAAAAGATCCTATTTTCTGAAAGTTCTCATGGATGGATAACCAGACAGCGTCTAAAATGAAGCAAAAATAATATTTAAGCTTTGGTAAAAAGTGGTATTGACTTGTAGGAGAATGCTTCAAAAATTTAGTTTTGAGATCTTATTTTTGGCTTAACTATTTACAGGATAGACGCATCTGGAAGTTCAAAGACTCTGAACACGGATGGGGTTGGGAGGATCGCCTTAAAGCATGTTGAAGGCTTTGTAAACTCATTCTACGATCCACAATCCTTTCATACTGCAGCTTCATCATTGGTCCCCACTGCTTTGGCACAGATAGCAGAAGCCATAAGAATACAAGAAGCAGGACATCTAAGATGCAGGTTTTAATGTTTTGGCCTTAGCATTTGGCATTCAACTGGTAAATTTGAATGAGTTTATGGTAGTAAATTACATAGTGTATTAATCTATTTACTACCATATAGTAAATTACTTATTGTAGACAACATGATATTTACATGCACTGGTCACTACCCATGGCCTCTGTCATCACATTCATCTCTCCCTTATTTTCTTTCTCTCAATAGTCAACTAGATCCAACCCCATAGGAAGAGAAGTGGATCTCACTAGGAAATTGCTGAAGGGAGGCTAGCCTATGGACTTTATAAATTACCCTAAGATGTTAGACTTTGTTGATGTGAGACTTATGTTGCCCATTGTGCATTCTTGAAACACCAATATTTGTACCAGTAACTAATAAGACCAAACTGGCCTTTGTTGTAAAAGTTAATGCTTGCACTTGATTAGTAAGTGACTCAAACACCATTCCGGCCTTTCTATAGGTGAGATCAACTGTTTTGAACGTTGTTCTGTCATTTTTGTATGAAATTCAGTATGTCTACTCAGAACATTTTGTAGGAAATGCCTTCACAAGTCTGTTTGTAGGAAATCAAATCAGGCTTTAAATTATTGGCTTGAGAAGACAAATTAATGGGTAAAAAGTATATGACGATGAAAATGCTGCCAATCTTACACCAAGGTTGTATTGATCCTCCTCAATGGCATGCTGCAGTATGCCTGCAAATACCAAAGAACACTTTGAGGAGTTCCTGCCTATTTTGTTTTGATTTGGGTGTTAGGGTCGGATACAGATATGTAACCGACATAGGTATATCCTTTTTTTTCCAGTTTTTCCATGTATGTGGAGATTTCTTGAAGGGTCATATCCCCTACTGATGTCCAAATATATGTCAGAAAAGGGTGTTGGACACTATACTTCAAAAAAAAAAAGCAAGATAAGTTCCAGTAATATTTAGCTTTAGGCAGTGAATTTACGGTTCAATTGTTCAAGCTTTGTAAATTTTAGCATCCATTTCCACATGCATCTTTATAAATACAAGATTTTCCATTTGCATAAAAAGTTTGTTAGGTGCTATGTTATATGTTTTCTGCAAGATAGTTACTTTACTTACCTCCCCTATCTCTGGAAACGAAATTTTCACAAGTTTCATGTTCATAGCTTACCTTCTTGATTCATCTGTGTATTCTAAAAATGTTCTGTTTATTTATTTATTTATTTATTTTACGTTTAACTCCAGTGGAGCCGAGATTGACAGATTTCTCAGAATGTTAAGGGACCCTTCTTCTATACTAAAGTCCTGTTCTGCATTTGCTCTTTTGCAGGAAAGTACCTATTCTCTTCTCATTTTACAATACATTTTGCAGTTTACGTTGCCTGGAGGACGGCATACAATGCACCATTCTAGCCTCCTTCAAAATGCAGGTGCACCGAGAGTCTTACGTGGTGTCGCTGCTGCATCAACAACCCCTATTCAGGCCAAAATATATGCAAAAATCGTGCTTCGGAACCTTGAGCGCCACCATGAACTCTCAAGTTAGTTGTGAGGATAGTTTCTTCTTAAACTCTCCCATGGTGATTGTCAATCCTCGTAAAAAGCACAATCTACTTTGAATTGAAGCAGGCTCTCTCGTTGTCTTTCCTAAACCAAAACCGCTCCCTTTTGGCTCAAAAGTGTAGACACCTTGCCTTGTCTGGCCTCGTGGATTACTTGTGGTAAGGAAATGAAAGAGGGTATTCATGAAGATCATTAAACTGATGTTTGTGAAGAATCAAACGTTGATAGTAATGATGCTTACATGATTGTTCATAAACTTACATGGTAATCTACAATTTTGATGTAACAGTTCACGATACTGTTGTGGTAATACTTGATAGACGATGATGTGATAGATAAATTTAATTGATTATTAAAAAGTTTGAGGACTTATTTCATTTAAAAAAATAAAAATTATTTAGATTAAAAATATAAAAGATAAAAAATTATTAAAGTACTCAATACATTAAATATAAAAATACTACAAAATTAAATTATTAAAAAAATTAATTTAAGGACTACATTGAGATTAAAAAAGATTTAGGGACCATATTGATTTTTTATAAAAGTTTGAGGGTTTCAAATATCATTAAATCAAAAAATTATTTTTAGAATGATTTAAACTTGTGTAAGTTAAGTTATAAAATCTAAATATCATGTTTCCTTATTTTTCAAATTTCCAAAACAATTTTAATGAAAATACTGAAAATATTTTTTTATGTTTTCATATTTTCACTTATTTTTTTATTTTCCAAAAATCATTTTCTAATTTTACAACCAAACAGTTTTTTTTCAATATTTTCTATTTTCTAAGAAAATGAAAATGAAAATAGCCAATATTTTATAAAACCAAACGGACTCGTTTTCTACTTTTAATTAACATAAAATAAAATATGTTTATTACTTTCAATCAAATTAAATTTCCTACTTTCTCTATTTTTTTTAATTTTACATCTTTATTAGTATGAGTTAGATCAAATTCAGGATGAATCTAGAGCGCACATCGCACACCGAAACAACCATTAATATGACACACCAATGCACACCACTAATTAAATTATTCTTATTAAATAAATATGAAAAAATATAATGACCTTTATTATTATTTAATTTAAATTTTAGTAGTAATTTAATTTAAATTTTAGTAGTAATATAATTAAATTATATTTTTTATAATTATTTTAGAAAATTTTATTTATTTAGGATTGGAGCACTTAACTTATTTAAGTTTACAAAATCTTTCCAGTAGTAACCATAAAAAACAATCGTTGACAACTCTATTTATCGCTAAAAAATTGTGTTCTTCGACATACATTGTCGCCGCCAAGAGGAAACTGAGATAAATAGGAAGGGATAGATTGATTGTGCATGCTTTACGGATGGTGTAACACATCGAAAAATCCACAATTTAAAACCCTAGTAATTAGGGCTGAACAACGAAACTGAGAAAAACGAAAAACCGACACGAACCGAGTAAAACGGTTCGGTTCGATTCGGGTTCACCTATAAATGGTTCGGTTTCGGGTTGATTTAAAGAATAAATTTTATTGATTCGATTCGGATTTTCCATATGGAACCCATTTGACGGGCATTGAACCAAATATCCGGTTACCCACTTCCCATAAGCCCAATTAAAGTTAACACAATGTAGAAAACCCTAACATTCTTCACTCTTCAGCACAGCCGTTCTCTTCTCCACTCTCCACTACGGCACTACCCAGGCGCAGTCACTTATCACAGCGCAGGCGCAGGCACTTATCACAGCGCAGGCGCAGCCACCGGTACTATCACGCCACAGTCCGACTGCCAACCATCGGGTATGTCTCTCTTCTCCGTTGGACTGTCTTTTATTTCTTCTTTGTTTTTCCATTTCTGCCGATAGAAATCCTGAAACTTTATTGAAAATGAAGCTTCTGCATGCTCTCCTCTGTCAGTTCTCTTCACCGTTTGTATGTTTTTTTGGGCAACAAATATGTTGAATAAATTACTATTATAGGAGTCAGTATATATGTTATTGTAGCATCCTTTTAGCTTTGCCAAGTAAGATAACGGTACCTAAAGGAACAATGTTAACTCCAGAACAACATATATTGCAAGAAAAAAGTTCTCAAAATTTCTCATAACAGAAAACAAGCAATCTATCAACTCCAGAACAAACTACAACAGCAAAACATATCTGGATATCTTGTGCTAATGTTCAAGCAGCATTTTGGGCTGCAAGCCTCTTCCTAGCTTCCTCAACGATTGATAACTTGATACCCTTGCCCTTGGGAAGGGATACCCATGGCTTTGTTCCTTTTCCAATGGTGAAGACGTTGCCCAGACGAGTTGCAAACTCGTGCCCAGCAGCATCTTGAACATGGATAGTCTCAAAGCTACCCTTGTGCTTCTCTCTGTTCTTAATCACTCCAACACGGCCTCTGTTCCTTCCTACAGTCACCATGACGACATTTCCAACATCAAACTTAATGAAATCAACAATTTTGTTGCTCTCGAGGTCCAGTTTGATGGTGTCATTAGCCTTTATAAGAGGATCCGGGTAGCGGATAGTACGCCCATCATATGTATTGAGGTATGGAATACCTTTCTGGCCAAATTGGACAGATCGAACCTTGCACAGCTTAAACTTGGTTTCATCACCAGTGATGGCATGAAAACTACTCTCTTATCATCAGAGTAGAGTTTGGAAATGTATAAAATGAATAAATCATAGTTCAAATGGCCATCTTTATATGTTTTGCATTTTCGAAAGTTGTACTGAAACTCATTTACTTGATCGCCTTGAATCATTATTTGTGGACTAAGTTGCAGCTTTCTAGTTTCTGTTTCTGTCTTGGAATCTTATAGTTCATATATAGTCCATGCATTATGGTGTTTACCATTAACATTGGTCATGAATAGTTGGGAGTTGGGAGGTGGAGTAGGTTAAATATCAGTTCAAGTAAGCAGAGTATACGTGTATTCATTGAAAATGTTTTCGGTTTATGAAAAACCGTTTTACCGAACCGAACCGAAAAAATCAGTTTCATATAATTCAGTTTTTTAACCATTCGGTTTTGATTTCGGTTTCGGTTTAAATTTTGGAAAACCGTTTATTTCGGTTCGGTTCAATTTTTAGTAAAAAACCGAACCGAACCGAATACACTTCTACTAGTAATTGAGAAATTTTGACCTAAAATTCTTAAATTGAAATCAGTGATCAAACTGTAAATTGGTAAAGATTGAAGTCGTAGTTGCAAAACCCTAGGAAAAATTATGACTTACCTTCAAATTAGAGCAATTTTATTTGATATCAAACTCTCCCCTTCCCCGTTTATAACTCTGCGCAGCCCTCCCCTTTTATTTTTAAAACCCTAGCAGCAATCCCATCTCCCTTTAAGCCGCCGCCGCTCACTCCTCCATTGCCCTTCACGCCATCTGACCGGTCAGGTAAGCTTGTCGACCGTCTCCTTTAACTCCGTTCCTGCTGCCGTCGACCCGAAGTCGCGTTCGCTCGAAACCAGCGAGCTTTGCTCGCGAATGCGCCGTCGTCGCGGCCTGCTTTGACCGTCCGTGGCCATGGTGTGGCCGGAAGTGACATGGGGAAAGCCTATCTGGTCGGAAATTCACTGGGCAGACCCTCGTCAGCCTTATTTTCTTTATATACTTTCGCCGTTTGGCAGCTAAATGGCCTTGGTGGCCAGCCGTTTAAGGCCACGGCGAGCGTGGCTGTGAGTTCGCCGTCCCTTGGGGCTGCTGTCGGTACACCCTCGTCGTCGGCAGTCCCACTTTTTTATACTGGCAGCATCCGTAATCGAGCGAAACTCCACTGTCGGTTCACCGATTCGAACAAGAAAAAAATATTTCCGTCACCGTAAAAAATATTATTTAAGTTCTGAAATTCGTCATTGGAATCTAAAATTATGCATTGTGATTTTTGCAGGGAGTTCTGATCCGGGAATCGAGTTACCGCCTTCGTCACCGTTACATGCTAACATCGAACCGACTCGAGCTGCTTGAGTTACCTGTGAGTGTGAATTTATTATTTTAGTTTGTTAGCCTTATTGGGAAGTTTAAAATAATTTATTAATTGTTAAATATTGTTGTAGGCACTGATTCGGATCGACCGGCCGACCGAGGAAAGTGTTATCACCGTCCTTAGCTATTTATCGAGGTGTGTCTCTATCGGTGCTACATATGTTTGATTTGTTTGTCTGTTTACTTGGTTGTTTGATAATGACTTGAAAATATGTTTAAATATGAAATTAGTTGTGTTTATTATGATTAAGAAAGAATAAGTTATGTGATGCAAGATGTAATGTCGGAAATGTGGATTATGTGATGTGCGTGCAAATATGTGATTGCATGAAAATAATGGAAAACTGATTATATGCTTTGGAAACTAATCATGTGATACCTCTTAATCGAATCGGACTTCGGATTTTACGTCATTTTGCATGTCATGTTGGGATGTATTCTGATAGGGAATGTTCAATGCATTAACTCGATGGGGTCAGTGTTACCTATTTTCGGATTCAATGTTAAGTTTTTAACAGAGGGGTACTAAAATGAAACAAAAATCAAACTTTTAGGTATGATTTTGAAACTGAATTGAAAGTTTAGATACTAAAACCAACCAAAACTAATAGTTTAGGTACTAAATCCGTAGTTTATCCTAAAATTATATATAGGCCCTTTTTTCTAATTTTCTTTAAAAACCTATTGTCTCGTCTTTTTCTCTTCTGACCCAAGCCCTAAGGTAAAATTTTTAAACCTATTCACTCGTCGTCTTCTCTTCTGACCCAAGCTTAACTTGAATATTGATTTCTACTTTGGGTCATAAGATTTTGATTTATATTCAATATGCATCTAAATTGCTCTGCTATATTTGATTTTCTGTTTTCGGCCCTACTGGTTTACTTTGTCGAGAAGGACTGTGTATTAAAGCTCTCGATTTATCTATTTTTCTATTACACTGCTATTTGAGACCGTTATTGAAGGTATGTTTATATGTAATTCTTATGATGGATTAAGAAGATATTGAGGGCATGTTTGTTGTGATGGGTGCATGTCAAGATTAAGAAAATATTGAGGGTATTTCATTAGTCATTTAAATCGTAATTACCTTTGGAAATAGTAGTGAATCTTCGGTTGATAAATGAGTTGGAAAAAGAGCTCAAGGTATTAGGTGAAGACCATTGGGGATATTTGATTTCTGCCTCTGTTTGTGCATTGCTCTGCTATATTTGATTTTCTGTTTTTTGATGATTATGTTTGTTACTCTGTCTCCCTTTGTTTATTTTGCTTTTTTGAGAAGATATATATTATTTTGAAAAGCTATAGGTTTAGTTATTTGTGGTTTAGGGATTAGGCCTTTGGGTTTGGGAGAATTAAAAAAAATCATTTTAACGTTCCATATTTCCCTTTTCCTTCTTCTCCACCAGCTGTTTGGCGTTTAATTTGGATTCAATTGAAGAGGGGATATGGGTAAAGTGAAAGGGAAGCATAGGTTAGATATCTACTATAAGTTAGCCAAAGAACACGGCTACCGTTCCAGAGCATCATGGAAGTTAGTACAACTGGATGACAATTTCAGATTTCTAAAATCAGCGCATGCTGTCCTCGACCTTTGTGCTGCCCCCGGTGGTTGGATGCAAGTGGCCGTGCAGCATACACCCATCGGCAGCCTTGTACTCGGTCTTGATCTTGTTCCCATTGCTCCTATACGAGGTGCCATCGCTCTCCAACAAGACATAACCAAATCCGATTGCAAGTCCAAGGTTAAACGAGTCATGGAAGAGCACAGGGTTATGGCTTTTGATGTCGTTTTGCATGATGGATCCCCTAATGTTGGTGGTGCTTGGGCTCAAGAAAAAATGAGCCAAAATACTTTGGTTATTGATTCTGTTAAGCTGGCTACCCAGTTTTTGGCCCCTAAAGGCACCTTTGTCACCAAGGTTTTTAGGTCCCAAGATTACAGTTCCGTTCTATATTGTCTCAAGCAGGTGATAAACAAAACCATAAGATATATCTCTCTGTGAAGTTTTGTTTTTTCCTTTGACACGCGTGTTTGGTTTGGTCTGCAGCTGTTTGAGGAGGTTAAAGTTTGGAAACCACATGCTAGTCGCCCAGAATCAGCTGAGACTTATGTTTTGGGGCTAAGGTATAAAGCCCCGGCAAAGATTGATCCACGCCTTCTTGATTTCAAACATCTGTTTCAGGGATCGATAGAACCACAAAAGAAGGTTTTTAATTTCATTTTAGGTTTCAAAATCTCTTAACTGACTACTTTTGTTCTCCTATTGATTGCATCTCTGCTCATTATTGTTCTTTCTGCCACATACTTGATGTAGGTGATTGATGTACTTAGGGTAACAAAACAGAAGAGACACCGTGATGGGTAAGCTTTCCCTTTATCATACAGCAATGTTACTGCTTTGTTGATAATGATTGAACATTTTTATTGAATTGATTCCTCTGCTATCTGATTTTAAGGTTTATGTTATGCTTTGTTTCTAAGTACATGCCGATTTCAGTTATGAAGACGGGGAGACAATCTCAAAGAAGATGTCTACTGCTGCTGATTTCATTTGGTCTGATTCTCCTCTCGAAATCCTAGGTTCAGTTACTACCATAACCTTTGGGGATCCAGCTTCATTGCCTATTAAGGATCACAGTTCTACCACAGAAGAGGTGATTATCTTTTACAGTATTGCTAATCATTACCTTCGTTAATACTTGTCATTACTTACTTTGTTGCTGTATTGACAGGTCAAAGCTCTTTGTGATGATTTGCGAGTTCTACGAAAGCAGGATTTCAAGCATCTTTTGAAGTAAGAAACATAATCCTTTTCAGATTTTCCCTTTTGAGTTTTTTAGTCTAAACAATTTGTGGTAATATGAAAATATGTAAAAGTTAAGCTATAATCAGTGCACTGGGTCCTTGATCTTTTGAGAGGAGCTTGATTTGAATTCCTATTGTTCATCAGATGAAAATATGTTAGATTTATGCGCATGAATGTGATGTGTATTGATTACCTTGATTTAGGTGGCGGATGCAATTGAGAAAAGCTCTGTCTCCTTCTGAAAAGGCTACTCCTCCAACTCCTACCACTGCTAAAGATGATGATAAAGGGGATGAGGAGAACGAAGATGATAAATTACTCAATGAGATGGAGGAGCTCACATATGCCATGGAGCGTAAGAAGAAAAGAGAAAAGAAGCTTCTTGCAAAAAGACGAGCAAAGGTTTATTGCCTTATTAAGAAAAATGTGATCCCTATGTTTATGTCTTAGTGCATGTTACCATGCAACAAATCATGAATGGAACGAATTTTGTGATTGTACCAATGATTATGTATCTACAATATAGTGATTAAATGATGCCTGGTAATCTTTTTGAAAGAATTACGCTTCCATCTTTTCGGGGTGATAGATATTTATGGTGTTCCACTTTGTTGTAGGATGTTTCGATGCGCACTCGTTTATTTGCTGATTTGGTACCTTGTTATTTTGCAGGAAAAATCACGGAAGGCAACAGGAATGCAAATAGATGCCCTGGAAGATGGTTACGTTGATCATGAGTTGTTCTCTCTTTCTTCCATTAAGGTTTGTTTTACCAAGGCTGCGAACTGGATAACTCCAATAATGTTTGTAACTAGTAAAAATACAATTTATTACTGCAAGTATAAAAGACCAAAACCAACACTCGTCACAAGGCTGCAGTTATGTCATTTGAACCAGGGGCATAGTTGATGTTTAACCTTATTGATTATTAATCTACTGTTTCTGAACTGAGAAGTTTTATTCTTAACATCGTTTCGGTTTACTTGCACTTTGTTATTGGAAACAATGCTCTGGCATGTGTTACTGTGCAATACTAAACTGTTGCTTACAGTTGTGGTTCTTTGATATTTCCTGAAATGTTACTTAGGTTGTCTTTTAAGCTTTATAATTTGGTAGAAACATTCATTGATGTCAGTCAATTACCATCTTTAGGGTAAGAAAGATCTTGCGACAGTTGATTCCACCGAGTATGATGGTGGCAACGTTGATCTGAGGGGTAGCGAAGATGAACAAAACCGAGAAGAAAGCACCGAGGATGAGTCACCCAGTGATATCGATTCTGATGAAGAACGCAGAAGGTTAGTATCTGCTTCTCATGACTGATATATATATATATATATATATATATATATATAATTTCTAACATTCTCTGTTTGTTAACCTTGTAATTTTAATGCTAGATATGATGAAAAAATAGAAGAGATCCTTGATCACGCGTATGAAGAGTATGTGTCGAAAAAGGATGGAAGTACGAAGCAGAGGAAGCGTGCAAAAGAAGCCTATGACAAGTTAGAGGTATGAAGCTCTTAAAGTGTGTATTAGAATTTAGAACTAAAAAATATTTGATCTTTTGTAGCAACTTTAACTAATAAGTGTTAACAGCCTCCTCTTTTCTGCATCAAGTACTACTTCCCTATGCTTCTCTTTTGTTAATAGAAATCCTGTTTTCGCGGTGCTAGTATCATTCCCTTATTTATTTATGCTTTTAATAGATAATGGCGAATAGTTGTTTATTGAATTTCCGTTCATGGCTGTTCAGGGTGGTTATGGTGATATTATTTTTTCTGATCATGATTCGGATATGGAAGAGGCTGATCCTGAAGCAAATCCTCTTATGATACCGCTAGATGACGGGGAAGGACCAACTCAGGAGGAGATTACAGACAGGTGGTTCGGTCAGGATATTTTTGCTGATGCCGTAGAGCAAGGGGATTTAGGGAAGTATGACAGTGATGATGAAATGGAGACTGATAAACGAAAGGAAAGGGCAGCTATTCCAGAGAGGTCCAAAGTAAAGAAAAAACAGGATGAAAGACTCGATATTCCGAACAAGGCCGAGGAAAAGAAAGCAAACAATGCTGCAGGCCCCAAAAGCACCAAACTCCTGGCTTCCAAGACACAGGATGATTTTGAGATTGTCCTGGCTCCAGCTACTGATTCCAGTGATGACTCGTCCTCAGATGACTCGGTAGAATATGACGTTGAGACGAAAACTGAGATATTAGCTTGTGCTAAGAAGATGCTCAGGAAAATGCGAAGGGATCAAATTCTCGACGATGCGTACGGTAAATATATGTTTCATGATGATGGTCTACCCAAGTGGTTCTTAGATGAGGAAAAGAGGCATTGTCAACCAATTAAGCCTGTTACAAAGGAAGAAATTGCTGCAATGCGAGCACAATTCAAAGAGATAAATGCTCGACCGGTTAAGAAAGTTGCAGAGGCAAAGGCTCGAAAGAAGCGGATTGCAATGAAAAAGCTAGACAAGGTCCGCCAGAAAGCAAACAGCATATCAGACCAAGCCGACATCTCCGAGCGGTCAAAAGGGAAGCAAATCGAACAACTTTACAAGAAGGCTACGCCCAAAAAGCCCCAGAAGGAATACGTGGTCGCGAGGAAAGGGGTTCAAGTTATGGCCGGAAAGGGGAAAGTCCTTGTTGATCGTCGGATGAAAAAGGATGCCCGGGCACGGGGAACTGGAAAACCAGGAAAAGGTGGTTCGAAGAAGGGAAAGAACGGAAGAGCGCGGAAAGGTAAAGGATCTGTCAAGGCTTCAGGGGGCAAGGGAAACAAAGGAGCGCGCATGCATGACTGAAGCAACTTAAGTTTTGAAAGGCACAATTTTGGATGAAATTAAACAATTTATACAAATGTTAGGACTGTTTTGTTTCTTTTGTTACAGTTGATTCATTAAAATTAAGTACAATGGCCGAGTGTTGAGGAATCAAATACTTTCATAGTAGCTTAAAGAGTTCCAATACTTTATTAAATTGTACCGAACATTACTTTATTAAATTGTACCTTACATAGATGTTCGATAGATGCTCGGTAATCAAATGAATCACGATTATATTCGAAGTTAACTTGGGATGGATGCTCGGTAGTCAAATGAATCTCGACTATATTCTATGTTAACTCGAGTTAAACACTTAAGTAGGGGGGATAGAGTTTCACACTAAGGTGTTTAAATGCTCACTAACAGAAGTGAATTTCAAGTGCGGATAGAGCTGTTCCCATCAACGCTGAATATATGAAAGTCATCTCCATATTATCCGGATATGAACTCTGCAAATTCCAAAATCGACAACTTTAGTACACTTCCAAACAAGAACCAATCTACCACTAAAACGAATCCAAGTAAAAGCTATAACAAGTAATAGTTCTCGATAATCTTTTTCGATAATGGTGCATTACGCGTACCTTTGATTCTCCGAAGATCTCCCCTTCTTGTACATAAATCTTCTCGAGTTTTTTTACCCATTTTATCCTCCCACATTGCTAACAGCTGATTCATGGAGCATGCATTCCCCAGGGGTCTCAGATACAAAGTCTAGTGTTCGAGGATCGTCTATGGCACTGATGGTGCATGCTGCAACATAGACATCGTTTACAACTTTATCCTTGACAGAATTCGCCAAAGACTCGATGGATGGTCTGCAAAAACTCTTTCTTTCTCCGGACGGGTCACTCTTGCAAAATCAGTTCTTCTTTGTATTCCCTCCTTCATTATGCAAGCTTGCAAATTGCCGACATCTCTCTGTAATGAGATTGAGCGAATGGTCAGATGCTTTATTTGGGGCTCCCCCTCCTTGACTAATCTCATCCCTCTAGCTAAATGGGAAGACCTCTGTCAACCTCTCCATACAGGCGGTCTGAGCCTTCGTCGAATAAATTTTCAGAACATTGCTCTCCTCTTCAAAATTTGCAATGATCTCATTCTCTCCCCCTCGGTTTCCTGGATCTTCCTCATGCGAGAGAAATATAAGATCATCGAACTATGCCCTTTTTCGATCTACCGTTCCACTTGTTCTAATCTGTGGCGTAGTTTGGTAAACGTATAGCGTTCTTTCTACACCAATTTGGCTTGGTCAGTGGGTGACGGACGCTCTATTAATTTCTGGACTGATAATTGGGTTCCCCCGATTGGCTCACTCCTCAACGTTGCAAAGACTAATTGTTTACTTAACTGTCTCTGATGTGTCTTCAGATGGTTGCTGGGATTGGGATCTTTTGAACACTCTCTTGGACCCGGTAGCTATTCATCATATGAGAAATATTATTGCTCCATCTTTTACGGTTGGTTCAGATATTGTTTATTGGTCGGTTTCACCAAAGAGGATTTTCATTGTTTCAAGTGCTTATAAATCCTTATGCTCCTCTTCTTGGGCCGCTACGAATCCTTGCTATTCTGTAATTTGGCGTTTACATGTTCCGGAACAAATTAGGAGTTTTTTTATGGCTCGCCATGAGAAATAGAGTGCTCACCAACTCTAACCGATGCCGACGAGGTATGGGAAATGATTCCTCTTGTTGTTTGTGTCGAGCTGAGAATGAAACTTTGCTCCATATCCTTTGAGATTGCATCACCGCTCGGAGCATTTGGCAGAGACTCCTCCAAGCTCATCCTTTTCCCTCTTTCTTCGATTTCGATCGTGAAGCTTGGCTCATGGAAAATCTCAGTTCTTCTTTCCGTTGTGCCGCATCCAATGGCCCTTGGTGCGTTCTTTTCGCCTCATTGGTCTGGAAGCTTTGGAAGGATCAAAATCTTCTCGTTTTTCAAGATGCCTCTCCTTGTTCGGAAGCTATACTTCAAGTCAGCATATCCTGGAGCAAACTTTATGATGACTGTGCGCCATTCGGAGTTCACACAGACTGCCCCCTGGATTTGGGGTGGGTCGCTCTTAATAACGATGGGGCTGTGTCACCCCAAAATGGTTTAATTTTGATTGGGGGTATCTTCAGGGATCATTCGAGGAATTGTTTAGGTGTTTTTCACAAATTGCTAGGGACATCAAAAATTTTTGAAGCAGAATTATGGGGCATATATGAAGGGATCCGTTCAGCTTGGCAATTTGGTTTTGAAAGAGTAATTGTTCAAAGCAATTGTGAGGATGCCATCCAACTTCTTTCACGGCTGTCAGCTTCGAGTCCGTTTGCTGCTGTTGGAGCTATCGCTCGCCTTCTTGACCAAGCTTGGGTTGTTCTTTTTTCGGAAAATCTATAGATAAACAAATATGGCTGTTGATTTTCTAGCTAAGTTCGATGACCTTCCCTCAGATGAAACTGTCAAAGTCGACCCTCTTCCGGATCGTCTGCTTTCAATTCTTCTTAGAGACTCACACGGCCGCCTTACTCTCGTATAGTTTCGTGATGTATTGGCTCCCATTCAAAAATAATAATAATAATAATATGTGGTCCCATACCCTTTTTTTGGATAATTTTAATTTTATTACCCAAGGTGCAGAATTCTGCTACATAAAAGATCCCATAATTGGGATAATGAACAACCTACTTACAACAAAATTTTAATAGTCTACACCCCAAATAGTACAAAGGTAAGTATTGAGACTATCTACTCTATTTATATTACTTCCTCTTAATTGGATACATACAATCTCTTTAATTGAACTCAAAATTTCGTTCTCACTTCTTTTGTTTCCTCGGTACAATCTTCTATTTCTTTCCTCCCATATGGAATAGATTAAAGCGCACCAAGCAAGTTTCAAGATAGTAGTGAGCAGGGACTTACCTTTCCAAGCACCATTGGCCCAGTCTATCATGCTCATCCAAGGTAAATTAGTGTTGCTTAAGCCCGAGAGGTTCAAAATGGCCTTCCATAAGGAAACTACCATAGGACATTCACTGAATAGGTGGTCCCTAGTCTCTTGTGCATCATTGCAAATTATGCAGGAAACATCAGTAACGATTCCCATTCTTCGGAGCCTTTCCCTAGTTGGGAGTCTATCCAGGAGAGTCATCCATGTTATAATGATGTGTTTGGGGACGTGTAGAGGAAACCATATCAATTTGTGCCATGAGACTTTATCTCCTTTTACCCGTAATTCTTTCCAGAAATCTTTTGTCTTCGTAGCTCCTGTAGATAAAACAGGGATTGCAGTTGCCCTTAGTTTAAGTAAGCGCCTGATACACCAGCTGGAGTTTGCTATGTCATCGACTAACAGGATGTCTGCACCTTTAATAACATAGCTTTTGATCCAAGCTACCCAAAAAGATCCCTCTCCCGCAAGGATGTTCCTGATGAGTTGTATCATACATGCTTTGTTCCATGTTTTTGTATCTTTTAGTCCGAGTCCTCTTTCATATTTCGTTTGGCAGATTTTCTGCCAACTGACTCTGGCTCTAGTAGCGGCTTCATCCGCACCTTTCCAGAAAAATCTAGAGCAAAGTTGTTCAATCCTATTAACAATGGCTTGTGGTAGAATTAACTGCCTGCACCAGAAGTTTGCAATACTGAAGAGAATAACTCTGATAAGTTCAAGTCTGTCAGCGTAGCTCAAGTGTGTTCCCGACCAGTGATGGAGCTTGGATTTGATCTTTTCAAGAAGAACCACACAGCCTTTTTCAGTGAGTTTCCTTGTGACTAAAGGAACCCCTAGGTATCTTACTGGCAAATTGTCATGTTTGAATCCTGTGGAATGTAAAATATGTTCAAGATTTCTGAAAGAGATTCCAGCAGTATAAAGTTCGCATTTGGTAGCATTAAGTTTAAGACCAGACATTTCGTAGAATTGGTCAAGGGCGCTGATGACTCCGGAAACAGATTCAATATTTCTTTTACAGAAGATAAGTAGGTCGTCTGTAAAAGAGAGGTGAGTGAGGCCAATCTTCTTACATTTTGGGTGGTATGCGAACAAGCCTTTAGTTGCTGCAATGTTTAGAATTCTAGAGAGCACATTCATTGCAAGAACGAATAAGATAGGAGATAGAGGGTCACCTTGTCTTATTCCCCTTGCACCCTTGAAGAAGCCAATCAAGCTTCCATCGAAAGAGATGGAGTATCTTGCTTCTTTAAAGCAGGTTTCAATCCATCCAATGAAAGTATTAGGGAGCTGTAGTGCATTAAGCATTGCAGAAATGAAAACCCAGTGTAGGGTGTCAAAATCCTTTTGTAAGTCAACTTTCAAGGCACATCTAGGAGAGATAACTTTCCTTCCATATTCTCTCACCAATTCTTGAGCAAGGAGAGTGTTGTCAACAATATTTCTTCCTTTTACAAAAGTCGATTGGTTGAGGGAGATTATTTCTGGAAGTAGTGTAGTCAACCTTTTGACTAAAATCTTTGTAATTGTCTTGTAAATAACAGAGCAACAGGAAATTGGCCGAAAGTCTCTAACCTTATTGGGATTAGGAACATTTGGAATCAAATCAATGGTTGTAGCATTGAAAGCTGGAAGGATGAAAGTCTCTTGGAAGAAGTATTTAATAGCATTTACAACGTCCTTGCCAACCACTGACCATGATTTTTTGAAAAAATATGGTGTGAATCCATTAGGACCGGGTGCTTTGTCATTCCCTTGGATGAAAATTGCTTTCTGGATCTCTTCGTCTGTTACCTCCTTGACAAGGTTAGAAGAAACATCTGAAGGCAAATTAAATTGCAGCAGATCCTTCAAAAGATTAGGCGCACAATTTCTAACACCGGAGTCTTCTGTGCCTAAAAGTATTGAGTAAAATTCAGTCACTTCGGAAGCCATTTCATCAAAAGATTCAATCCTTTTACCTTGGTCATTAACAAGAATTCGGATGGTGTCTCTTTTTTTTTACCGGAGATAATGGAATGAAAGAATTTTGTGCATTTGTCCCTTTCTTTTAACCATTTCACTTTGGCCTTTTGTTTCAAGTACATACGCTCTGCTTCTTCAAGAGATAAAAGCTCATTCTGTAGCATCAACTCTTTTGCAATAGTGTCCCGTCCTCGTAGAGTAGATAGTTGCAGTTGTTCCAGATCACTTTGCTTTTGACGTACTCGAGCAGAAAGATCACTGTAATATTCTTTGTTCAGGGTCTTGAGGCTTGTTTTTAGACGTTTAAGCTTGAGGAAAAGAACCTTCATCAGATTTCCTTGAATAGGTGGTTGCCATGACTGTCGAACTTCATTTAAGAAATTAGGATGAAGAGTCCAGAAGTTGAAAAATTTGAATGGTTTAGGTCGATTTGCTTGAACCTCCCTGTTGATCCAAACCAGAGCCATACAATGATCAGATACGCCTAGTGCAAGGAATTCCACAAATGAGTTATGAAAAGTATTTACCCATGTGGAATTGATAAGCACCCTATCAAGCTTCTTTGCAAGAAAAGATTGTTGTTGTTTGTTGCTCCATGTGAATGAAGGACCAAAGAAATGGTGGTCTTGGAGAAGAAGATCATGAGTGAAATCTTGGAAGTCCTTCATGTATGGAGTTAATATTGGACCAGTGTGCTCATAATCTGAACTTTCCTTCGAATGCAAGATAGCGTTGTAATCTCCTCCTAATATCCAAGGTAAAGAACCGAAATATGCTTCCATGTCACGTAGTTGTTGCCAGAGTTGTCTTCTAGTTACACCATCATTACTGGCATAGATAGCTGTAATAATGAGAGGAACACTCTTAAAAGTGCATCTGATAGTAATTGACTGAGCAAAAGCTTGACAAAAGGAGATGTCTAAACCTTTTTTCCAGAGGATCCAGATCGTCCCGTTTGAAGCAAAGTCATAATTTGAACAGGTATGTCATTGTGTAAATTTGGTTTTGAATATTTCAGCTGAATTCTCCAATTTGACACGGGTCTCGAGTAGACAGAGGATGTCAACTTTATTTTGAATATCCCTTTGTAGGACTTTTTCTTGTTTTAGAGGATTGTTTAATCCTCTATTATTCCAGAAGCTAATAATCATAGAGAAGGATAGCCCACACCCCCATTACTACATGATGGACTTTTTGCATTGTCGAGATAAATTTTCTTTTTTGATTTGAGGTCATTAACCAAACATGCTACTGTCGTAACCGTCTTTCGGTTGGGCCCCGAAATTGGGCTTCGACTTGAAAAATGTAAATTGGAGTCGCCACCGATCCTTTATTTTAAATTGAATGGGTAGATCGGATACCTTATTTCTTACCTGATCTGCGTCTTACCAATGATGTGTCGGATTTGGGAGTCGGTTACAGTCAAGGAAGGGTTAGCACCCTTGCACTGCCCTTTCGGTACTACGTAATTCCCAGTTGTCTTAAATTAAGAGAATTGAAAGTTTAAATTAAAAGGTAAAATAGCGATCCCAATTACTTACCTCTAACCGTTTTGAAAACGTACCCTTAAGAAATCAAGAAAAGTATTAGAATAACAAAGGTGACGAGGACAAAGCGAAGATTGAAAAAGTAAAACAAAGAAGAGAAAATAGGTAAATAACGACAAATAAAACAAAGTCGAAATGAAAATGAAATGTACACAAAAGTTTTTTTAAAAAGAATAATAAAAAACAAAGAATATATACACATATATACAATGAATTATCATAATTAATATAATAGGTAAAAACGATAGTTTTAAAAAAAATAGAGATATAAAATATTATGTAAAAACAAATAAATGTACACAAGTAAAAAAATGAAATAAAGGAAAAAACAATTAATAGATATATATATATATATAATAGACGTAAGAATAAAATATTAATAGCATATATATGTAATGATAGAGTATAATAGAAAATGACCAAACAGAGATAATCGTAACATACTTATAATACTAATAAATTTATAAAAAATATTTAAATTATGTACATATATAAACTGATATATAACATAAAAGAGATCAAATAAAAAAAATGCATACAATGATACAGATAACGAAAGGAAGTAAAAAAAATATATGCATACATATAATGAAAAGGACCAAATTATAAAAAAGGAAAACTGACAGAATTTAAAGAAATTCGAGGAGAATTGTGAAATTTCAGGGGTAAATTGAAATTAAATACGAATTGTGTGGCCAAATTAGAACGAAATAGGGGTTTAAAAAATCAATTTTGGGGTCAATATAGAAGAGTTCAAAATCAGAGCGACCAAAAGCGAGTTAACCCATCTTGAAGCGAAAACATGCGGGTTAGCTAAGCGGGTCGGGTCAGTGCGCGGGTCCAACGGGTTTAGTATATAAGTTAAAATCTTTTAATAAAATTTATTTCTCTCTTATCGTCCCAAAAAACGCTCCCCCTCCATCCTTATTCTCTCTTGGTGTTCTTAAAAATGAAGAACACCAACCCAGTTTTCCAGAAAATGGCCATCGGCCGCCCCCACTCCGCCTCGCCGCCGCCGTTGAACGACGACAGCCGCCGTTCAACGGCGGCAAAACTTTTATTTTTTATTTTTTTTCAAAGATCCCTAAAGCTCTTTCCACTCTCTTTTTAAAAATCAAAACTTTTTTAAAAAACAAAAGCCTCGGGGCTAGATCTGGGTTTGAAATCTCGAAACCCTTTCCCTTTGATCATCGGCGTAACCCACTCTTGGATTTTTTGAAGTCAGACGAAGGCAAAGCAAGAGGAAAAAGAAACGACATGCAAGGTAAAAAAAACAAAAATATTCACCTTTTATTTCTCTTCGAATCTAGTTACAAAGTAAAACTTTGAATCTGTTGTATCTCTCTTGATCTCTCGTAGTATATTGCGTGTATTTGTGTGTGTTCTTGTTGTTACAAGCGAATCGATTACATGTATTTATAGTCTATGAAATACTATCTTTAATAGAGTTTTATTTGATTTCAAATTCTAATGCTCCTTGGTATCTTCTGTTATTTTGGTGTGGGTGTTCCTTGCGATCACGACGACGAGGGAACCGGCTGTGAGAGGTGTGTTGTGCGAGGGAAACGTGAAGGACGAGGGGTCTTCGACGTGGAAGAGTCTTCAATGTGTGATGCGGCGCTGGTGGAGAAAGGATAAAACCCTATCTGGCTCATATCGTGGACCGTTGGATCAAATCTAGATCCAACGGTCACTGTTGCTAACGGCTGGAAGCAAGAGTAGGGCGAGCTAGGGTTTCTTGCGGGCTTGTTGGGTCAACATGTATTCTGCTGGGCCACGTGTATTTGGACCTGATACAAAAATGTAAAATGTGTTAATTTAATAAAATAATAATATTTATACAATATATATATATAATATAATATAATATATAAATATATATGGTCATGAAAAGCGTGTCTACAGCTGCCCCTCTTTGCCCATAGTCGTGTAACGGGATAGGGCAAAGATTGAAAGACACACTTTTCATTCTTATCGAATGCCCTCTGTCGTAGAGTTGAAATCCGATATTAAGACTGATTTGAAATGACTCCCTCATTGCGAGGTTGAGTTGAACTGGAAGCTTCTGAGCACAATGTCCTTCGTTGTGAAGTTGAAATTGAACTCAAAGTTGTTGTCGAGTGGCCTCTGAATCGTCTCTTGGCTCAAGATACTTCGTCAGGAAGGTGAAACTTGACCTGAAGACTTTGGTGTTGTGTGTTACAAATGACTCCTTCGTCGCGAAGTTGGGTCAATCTGCTGAGGTACAATACCCTTTGTTGTGAAGTTGTGTATGGCCCCTTCTTTGTGAAGTTGAGCCTGGGAATTAGATATCCTTCTTCGTGAAGTTGAAATCCAAGTAAGTTGTACTGTTCTGAGTCCAATATCCTCCGCCGTGAAGTTTAAATTGGCTCTGGAACTGGGAAATTGTTTGTTGACAACCAGCCGTCCCTTCGTTGTGAAGTTGAACTTGTGTTGTCCTGAGTCCAATACCCTTCGCTGTGAAGTTGAAATTGACTCTGAAATTGGGAAGTTTTTTGTTGACAACCAGTCGTCCCTTCGTTGTGAAGTTGAACTTGTGTCGACTCGAGTCCAATATCCTTCGCTGTGAAGTTGAAATTGGCTCTAAAATTGGGAAATTGTTTGTTGACAGCCAACTGCCCCTTCGCTGTGAAGTTGAGCTTGTGGTGTCTCGAGTCTAATATCCTTCGATGTGAAGTTGAAATTGACACTGAAACTGGGAAATGGTTTATTGACAACCATACGTCCCTTCGTTGTGAAGTTGAACTTGTGTTGTCTCGAGTCCAATATCCTTCGCTGTGAAGTTGAAATTGGCTCTGAAACTGGGTAATGGTTTATTGACAACCAGCCGTCCCTTCCTTGTGAAGTTGAACTTGTGTTGTCTCGAGTCCAATATCCTTCGATGTGAAGTTGAAATTGACTCTGAATGAAACTGAAAAGTGGTTTGTTGACAACCAGCCGTCCCTTCATTGTGAAGTTGAACTTGTGTTGTCTCGAGTGGCGTGATATCTTCCGTCGTGGAGTTGAAGTCGCTGATGTGTGGGTACGATATCCTCCGTCGTGGAGTTGAAATCGCGGATGGCCCCTTCTTCGTGAAGTTGAGCCTTGACTTGGATATCCTTCGTCGTGAAGTTGAAATCCAAGTATTGTATGTTGCGGGTGGACACGATTCCCTTCGCCGTGAAGTTGAAACCGTGGATGACCCCTTTATTGTGAAGTTTGGCTTCGAGCTAGATATCCTTCGTCGTGAAGTTGAAATCTACTCTCGAACCAATTGTGTCGCTTCGAGTTCAATATCCTTCGTCACGAAGTTGAAGTTGACTCTAACATATATGTGATGCTATGAACATATGTTATATGGGGCTTTGGAGAGAAATCTCGATCTCCGGTTGCCTGTCTGGAATCTTGAAGTTTCGATCCCTGGTCTGGAATTTCTTCAAATGTTCAAATCTGATGTTTGTTTTTTTATCCTTGATGCTTCTCGACCATCTCAAGTATATGCATGAGCCTTGATCGGCTTCCGAGTACCTGTACTTTTCAATGAATCTTTGTACAGTAATATGCAAATATCTTTTGCATAAGTAAATAGATCATTAAGTTTAAGCTCAATCCAAGATGCTCAAAAGGAATCGGTGTAGAGAAAAAGACTGTCTTTTATTCATGAGGAAAAAAAGAACAAATAATACATGGCAAATATTCTGGAAGATGAAGACATGATGAGGTATAAATGAATGTCATAGATTTCAATAATGCGGGCACTTCTGAGCTAAAAAGCCGTTAGGTGACCTTGAATACAGTCTTTGCCAAGGGATCTTTGAAAATGAGACAACATTCAGGAGAGTGCAACCTTTCTCCAACTCGTTGAGTCTGTGGAAAATTCAGATGCCGGGGAGTTTCAACTGTCTGGATTTCTTGAATTATCCAAATCGCCCTTTCGGGTTTTCAACTTGGACCCATCCTTGGTTGCAAGACGCCTTTTGCGGGTTTTCATCTTGAACCCACCTTATTTTTTTTCTTTTTTTGTTCTTTTTTCTCTTTTCATTTTTTTTCAATTTAGGGTGCCCTTTCGGGTTTTCACCCTAAACGTTTTTCACTTTTTGTTTTTTCTGTTTTGTTTTTTTTTTTCGAATTAGGACGCCCTTTCGGGTTTTCATCCTAAGCGAAGTATTTCTTGACTGCATCCGAATTGATGGGATGTGGCAGTTCGGGTCCGTCCATTTCAGCCAAGACAAGAGCTCCTCCGGAGAAGGCCTTTTTCACGACATAAGGTCCTTCCCAATTTGGCGTCCATTTTCCTCGAAAATCTTTCTAGACTGGCCAAATTCTCTTTAGCACCAGATCTCCTTTACGGAATATTCTCGGGCGCACCTTCTTGTCATGTGCTCGAATCATTCGTTTCTGATAAATCTGACCATGATGAATGACTTTCAGCCTCTTTTCATCTATCAGGTTTAGTTGATCATACCGGGATTGGGCCCATTTTGCATCATCCAGTTTGACTTCTGTGAGGACCCGTAGTGACGGAATTTCTACTTCAATGGGCATCACTGCTTCCATTCCATAGGCTAGTGAAAATGTAGTTGCCCCAGTTGAGGTTCGTACCGAGGTTCGGTAAGCGAACAAAGCGAAAGGCAACTTCTCATGCCAGTCTTTGTAGGTCTCGGTCGTTTTCTCCACTATATTTTTGATGTTTTTGTTTGTTGCTTCTACTGCACCGTTCATCTTTGGTCTGTAGATAGTAGAATTGTGATGCTTTATATTGAATTTCTCACAAGCAGCTTTCATCATTTTATTGTTCAAGTTTGTAGCATTATCGGTAATGATCCTTTCAGGTAAACCATACCGACATATGATCTTTTTCTTCAAAAACTTGCAGATAACAGATTGAGTGACATTGACGTAGGAAGCAGCCTCTACCTACTTGGTGAAATAATCGATAGCTACAAGGATGAAACGATGACCATTCGAAGCCTTCAGATGGATTTGCCCAATTACATCCATGCCCCACATAGAGAAAGGCCATGGTGACGTCATAACATGAAGCGGATGAGGTGGAACATTTATTTTATCTCCGTAAATCTGACATTTATGACATTTTCTAGCATAGTTGATGCAATCGCTTTCCAGTGTGGACTAGAAATATCCGCATCTCATTATCTGTCTCGACATCATATGTCCATTTGCATGTGCTCCACAAACTTCATCATGTACTTCTTCCATTATCATTTTTGCCTCTTCAGCATCGATGCACCTTAACAGAACTTGGTTATGGCTTTTCTTGTACAAGACCTCCCCATCAAGGACGTATCCAGCTGCCATCCTTCTAATGGTTCTTTTATCGGTCTCAGTGGTTTCCTCTGGATAACTTCGATGCTTGATATAATGCAAAATGTCATAGTACCAAGGCTTAGTGTCCTTTACTTCTTCAATCTGGTAGCAATGAGTCGAGTACTCATACGACTGCATGTCAATTGCCATCATTTCAGACTTTCCGCCAACTTTGAATGCGGCTGCCAAGGTAGCCAAAGCGTCAGCCTTTTGATTTTCTTCTCTTGGCACATAGTGGAAGGTGACTTCATCGAATTCTTCGAGCAGATCCAGTATTAGCTTCCGGTATTCCATCAGTTTTGTATCTTTGGTTTCCCATTCTCCACGGAGCTGATAGATTACTAATGCTGAATCCCCGTATATCCGCAAGGTCTTTATGGTTTTCCCCAGTGCAGCTCGAAGTCCCAAGACACAGGCTTCATACTCTGCCATGTTATTGGTGTAATCGAAATTCAGTCTGCTGGTAAATGGATAATGATTCCCTTCTGGAGAGATCAGTATTGCCCCGATGCCATGTCCTAATGCATTTGATGCCCCATCGAAATACATTTTCCAGGAACTGTCTGTTGAAGTACTTGTTTCTTCTAAGGATAAAGCCATCAAGTCTTCGTCTGGAAAATCAAAGTCTAATGGCTCATAATTCTCATCGGTTCTGCTTGCTAAGAAATCTGATATGGCACTTCTTTTTATGGCTTTCTGACTCACGTACTCGATGTCGAATTCAGACAAGAGCATCTGCCATCGAGCTAACCTTCCAGATAGAGCGGGTACACCCATCATGTATTTTAGTGGATCTAGCTTGGAAATCAACCAAGTGGTGTGATACAACATGTATTGTCGGAGTCTTTTTGTAGCCCAGACTAAAGCACAACAAACCTTCTCGATAGGAGGATATCTGACCTCGCAATCGGTGAACTTTTTGATCAGATAATATATGGCTCTTTCCTTTCTTCCAGATTCGTCATGTTGACCCAGGACACATCCCATTGAGTTCTCGAATATAGATAGATACAAGAACATAGGTTTTCCTGGGATGGGGGACATTTAGATAGGAGTATGAGACAAGTACTCCTTCACCTTCTTGAATGCAATCTGACAGTTTTCATCCCATGCTCCAAGGATGTTCTTTCGGAGAAGGTGAAAGATTGGATCACACTTATCGGTTAACTGAGATATGAACCGAGCTATGTAATTCAATCTGCCCAGAAAACCTCGGACCTCGTTTTGTGTTCGAGGTGGAGGTAGATTCTGGATAGCCTTAACTTTGTCAGGATCAACCTCAATGCCTCTTCTGCTGACCACGAAGCCTAACAGTTTTCCGAATGTTACCCCGAAGGTACACTTGCTAGGGTTCAATCGTAACTGGAACTTCCTCAATCTCTGGAAGAGCTTTCTCAAATGCTCGATATGTTCATTCTCGGTCTGTGCCTTGACAATCATGTCGTCGACATAAACCTCGATTTTTTATGCATTATGTCGTGGAACAGGGTCACCACAGCTCTCTGATATGTTGCCCCAACATTCTTTAATCCGAAAGGCATCACTTTGTAGCAGAAAGTTCCCCACATTATGACGAGAGTGGTCTTCTCCATGTCTTTGGGGTGCATCTTGATCTGATTGTACCCCAAAAATCCATCCATGAATGAAAAGTAGTTGTTCACGGCTGTATTTTCTACCAGAGTGTCTATGTGTGGCAGAGGAAAGTTGTCTTTGGGACTTGCCTTGTTTAGGTCCCGGTAATCGACACACATGCGTACTTTCCCGTCTTTCTTCGGTACAGACACTATGTTGGCCACCCACTCCGGATATTTGGTCACTTGAAGAAAACCGGCATCAAATTGTTTCTTGACTTCTTCCTTGATCTTAAGGAGCATTTCTGGTCGCATCCTTCTCAGTTTCTGCTGCACTGGTTTGCATTCTGGTTTGATTGGCAGTTTGTGGACTACCATATCTGTGTCTAATCCTGACATGTCTTGATACGACCAGGCGAACACCTCTCTGTATTCCTGAAGTAAGATTATCAGGTTGTGTCTTGCTTCTGTCGAAAGAGTTGTGCCGATTTTAACCTCCTTTCGGTCTTCCTCACTACCCAGATTCAAGATTTCGATCGTCTCTTTATGGGGCAGTATTTGTTTATCTTCTCTTTCTACCATTCTCAACAATTCGGAAGGCAAGTTACATTCCTCTTCAATGTCGCATTCATCAAATTCCCCGAGACAAATAGTTGATTCAAAATCCACCTCCGGATCAGGATCATTAGTGCCTGCATTATTGTTATCTGTGGATCTGAAAGAAGGGAAAATGTGCATGTGTGAGAGGAATATATCCCACACGAAATAGTCAAGAATTAAATTCGAGAGAAAGTGGAAATGAAGTACAAAATGTAGAAGATAGACAATGAATTCATAAAAGAAATAAAGGAAAAATTTGTTTTCCATGAGAAGAGAAAAGAAAATGCATCTTTTATTGAACTTAAACATAATGTTTATTAAACCTTACAAAAGATCACCTATTGCCCCGGGTATAGGCAAATAGGGATAGTTCGAATATTACTCTGAAAGATTCTTGTAAACCACATGTAGTTCTTCGACTGACCAACTGCTAGGCACGAACCCAGGTGGCAGAGGGCACATCCCAAATCTATCCTCGTTGTCAGCATTTCCAGTGGTTACGGCATTGATGCTCAAATCTTCCAAAGCCGCTTCTAAATCTGACAAGGTGTTCTCAAATACATAACCACCTGACTTGAATGTGTGGCAGAGAGGTGGGAATGTCATGGGTTCCCATTGAAATTCACTTCCAGTCAACCTGGCTAGTCTTCTTTCTCGGTTCTTCTGAACTTCTTTTCTCTTCTCATGGTAACTGGGCTGAAAGCCGAGCCCAAACCGGTCTGGATTTGAAATAGGAATGACTGGATCAATCCTTCCTTGCAGAAATTTCCCAAACCCTCTTTCAGTTTTGGCACCTTGTCCCAATGTTTGCATGATCTCCATTCTGGTACACTTGGAAAGCCGGGGTCTAGGAAGCGTTCTTCCTTCTGCCACAAAGGTGGCATTCACAAATTCCAAGGAACAGAATGAACACTCCTCTGCTTCCTCATCTACTTCGATGTATGGGGCCTCCGTGGTCACGCTTGCCACGATATCCTCCTCAGCATTAATAATTACTAAGGCTCCGTCAATAACAAATTTAACTTTTTGGTGCAGCGTGGATGGTACTGCACCTTCTTGATGAATCCATGGCCTTCCTAAAAGACAGTTGTAAGAAGGCATGATATCCATCACCAGAAACTCGATATCATAGGTGGCAGGTTCGATGGTCAACGACACCTCAATCTTGCCAACTACCTCTCTCTTGGTCCCGTCAAATGCTCGAAACACGTTCTGACAAGCTCTCATATGAGAGGTATCTATTGGCAGCCTCTTCAAAGTGATTAAAGGCATTACATTTAGGGTTGAGCCATTGTCAATCAATACACTTGGCAGAGCATGCCCCTTGCAGTAGGTAGTGATGTGTAATGCCTTCGTTCGGCCTCTTCCTCCGGATGGAATCTCATCATTTGAAAATGAGATGAGATTATCAGCTTGAATATTATTTACCAGTCGATCCATCTTGCTGACTGGTATGTCTTGTGGCACGAATGTTTGATTCAGGACTTTCAACAGCGCCTCCCGATGTGCTTCTGATCTTAATAAAAGTGTCAACATTGAAGTGCGTGTTGGCAAGTTGTGGAGCTGTTCTACGATACTGTACTCGCTATGTTTCAAAAATTTGAGGAATTCTTTAGCTTCTTCATCCTTTATAGGTTCATTGATAGTCAGCACATCTTCCTTGAAGGGTTATAGTGATCTCTGCCCCACTTTGTTGTCACATTCTTTGGAAGTACTTACCTGAAATTCGTACTTCCAAGGCACTTGCCGATTATCCTTGTATTGAAAAGGTCGAGGTACCGAAATCACCACCTTTGTTTGTGGAGTTGTTGTTATCATCTTTTCCTTAGGGGTAATGATCAAAGGACTACCCCTACCGAGTCTTTTGTCTGATTATTCTCCGGTAGTGCAAATGTATGCTTCCGGGGAATCCTGAATTTCTTTATAAAACTCCAGCTCCTTCTTGTCCATCATGAGCTGGACTAATGTCCTGAATTCGGAGCATTCTTGCACTTTATGCCCCTCTTCGTTGTGGTAACAACAATAGTTACCACCGTTATTCTTTGCTGGACATGACTGTGGTGTAAAAAACCCTTCCTTTACCATTTGGCTCCATACCCAAGCCAAAGGAGCTTTGACTTCTGAAACATTGGTTTTGATTCTCCTGCCGTTTTCGGTGGTGATTGCATTAATTCCGGTCTCCGGGTGATTAGGCAAGGGATTCTGGGAGACGTTCGGCGTGTCGAAAGTGATCCAATTTTTGTTCTGCATTCGCTGTACAAGCCTCTTGAATGCGAGACAACCTTCGATCGAATGCCCTTGCACACCACCATGATATTCGCAGTGAGCGTTTTCGTCATACCATCTCGGATACGGGGGCTTTATTGGATCCATTGGGTAAGGTGACACTGCGTGAGTGTCGAAGAGCTGTTGATATAACTCTTTATATGTTATGGGAATGGGATCGAACTGCTCCCTTTCCCTTTCTTTCCTTGGTTCTCTTTGAGCTTGATTAGAAGCACCAGACGGTACAGCTGCAATGGTTTTTGAGCTTGAGACCGTAAATCCCTTGTTGACGTTGTAAGTGTTGACATTGTTGATCTCTCGGTCTTTTTTCTTCATGGGAGGCTTTTTACTGGAGTCTCTTCCCACGATTTTCCCTTGTTTAATGGCTAACTCAATCATTTCACCAGCCATGACTAAATCTGAGAACCCTCCATATGTAATTGCCACCAGGTGTTCGAAGTAAGGTGCCTTCAGGGTTTGTACAAACAACTTTCTAGTCTCTTTTTTGTCCAAAGGTGGATGAACCTGTACAGACAAATCCCTCCATCGCCGCGCGTATTGTAGGAAAATTTCGTTGTGTTTCTTCTCCAGCCTTTGTAACATAACCCGGTCTGGTCTCATATCGTTGATATGCTTGTATTGCTCCAGGAAATACTTGGCTAAGTCTTTCCACGTCTTGATATGAGTTCGGCTGAGCTGGTTGTACCACCGAATAGCCGAACCGGACAGGCTCTCCTGAAAGCAGTGGATTAGGAGTTGGTCATTCCCTCTATATCCTGTCATCTTCCGACAGAACATAGTGATATGGGCTGATGGGCAGCTGTTTCCATCGAACTTCTCAAACTCAGGAACTTTAAACTTTGGTGGAAGCACCAAATCTGGAACTAGGCTCAGTTCCCTTGCGTCCACTCCGTAATAATCATGGTCCCCTTGGACCATCTTCATTCGATCTTCTAACATCCTGATCTTCTCTTCCATCTTTCTTGCTTTGTCATCTTCATCGAAATCCGGGATATTGTAAACATCCGGATGGTTATCAGGATTAGTTGTGGAAGTTTGCACCTTCATAGCAGATGATGTTTTTCCTTTGACAACAAAAGAATTTTCTTGTGTTTTGGGTAAGAGTTCGGGTGAAATAACTACCTGTGGAGTTGGTGACATAGTTACCCCCTCGGAGGGACTTCCCCCCTACTGCACTAGCTTGTTGTAAACCTGATAGCTTGGCCACGATTTGGTCGACCAAAGACTCCTGGTTTTTCTTGATGGATTTCAAAATGCTCTGACTGTTTTGAGCCATCTTATCTTCTAGTTCTTTTTGCAATCTTGCCATGTTCTCCTCGAGTTTCTCCATTCTGGCCTCCATTTGTCTCTTCTTTGCTCGAGTATTGTGTGGGTGATGCATATTTAATGCTTGCGGTGGTAAACTTGGTATTTGTTCTTTCTCTTTCTGAGACATGTTCTGTTTGTTAATACGAATGTAAAAACATGGAAAATATGAAAAAAATGCAAGGTATGTAATGTATGATGTATGCAATTTAGAGGCATTGATCCAGAAAAGTGTCCATTATTATAAATAATCCTTATTCAGACAAAAATGTTTTATCTTGTAAGAGACATAAAAACAATCAAAGGTACGTTCGAACTAAATCCTCTAGACCCCGAACAGCTTCTAGTAGGTTGACAAGTCTTCTGCCTTCATCTGTGACTGGTTGAATGCCTTGTCGAACCACTCCAGCTTCCCTTGCCAGGCCATGAAGATGACGGGCTGCCTTCTGTACTTGATCTAGGAAATCTCGTATGACTGCGTCTCTAGCCTTTACCCTTTGTTGTGCTTGCTCCCAACGGAAACACCACTGTAGATCTCCATCAAAGGGCACTATCTGAAGCTCAGCTGCTTGCTTCCTGAATTCATCTACGATAGCTTCTAACTCAGCTATTGTTTTTCCATCTTTCTCATGTTGTTTCTCCAGATCAGCCATTTGGATTCTCAAGCATTGATTTTGATGCTGACTGTCTGCTAAGCGCCTCTGAGCAGTTTTCAACTGTTCCTTCCAAGCTCTTTCATCAAATCCCTCAAACTTTCTTTTTAGGCTATGAACTTCCTTTTTCCAGTATTCAGAGGTTACTTTCAACTTTGAATTATCCTTGACTTTATCTTGATACCCCTTTCTCAGATCCTCGAGCTCAAAACAGACTCTTTTCTGTTCTTTTTCAAACTTTTCTGCTCTATCTTTCTGAGAGTCGGCATCTAGCTTCCATTGATAACGCTCAGCTTCAAGTTCTCTGACCTTCTGCTTCAACTCATTTTTCACAGCTTCAAACTCTGCCTTAGCTATCTCAAGTTCAGAAGGGACATGCTTGAGATGTTCCTCCATGGTCTGTGTGTCCTCACAGTCTGGCACCAAGGTATTGTCATTTTTTCGCAATCTTCGCCACTCTAAATAGTCTGGGGTAAGCATGTCTTTAGCAGCCACAATATCCATCCAGAACACTTTCTTCCATGAATCGGCTATCTCTTTGATCATCTTCTTATAATTGTTACCGTGATACACAAACTCTGATGTAGATAATCCGTGTGTTGCTGGGACAAACTGGCGTGCCCCATACTATCTAAGTGCCAACAACGGAGCATACCCAAATGTACCCCAAAGTCCAAGTAGGGTCATAACGTCAGAATCCCCACATCGAAAAAGGACGTCACTGAGGAACAACCAAGGGGCTCTCCAGGTAATATCCCGATCCTGAAGATGCGTGAAGACCTTTATCCATTTTTCCTTCGAAGCACCTTCATGCCATTTCATAGTGATGAACTCTCCCAACGGTGAATAGGTAGTGCTGAATCGGCGGTAGTCAACCCCGTTAGTCTTCCAGAAGTAGCTGTGAATCCAGACTTGAAGGATCTGGACACACCCCATGAACCTTCCTCCACCAGTTCTTCTACAATGATTAAGAGAGCGAAAGGTCTCAGCTAAGATGGTCGGTGCTGGGTTGACTCGCCTTGGAAGTTGTTCAAATAGTTCTACTACGGCTGTGTCGATACACCCCAAAGTCTTCGGAAAGATAATCAAACCGTACAGACCCAGTGCAAAAAGATCTATAGTCTTCCATTCATCAGGGTGACTCTTCATTAGTTGCCTTATATGGGTCCACTCAATTCCTTCCCCGCTACCTTTGTGTCGGAGTCGATCAGTCACCCACTTTTCATCAACCCCTACAATCTTGGACAATATGTTCTTGAAAGGCTGACTCTTGATGTGTTTGATATATTCCCTCTCTAGTTTGATGCTTTCGCAGTGCAGTAGTGTAGTATACTCTTCTATGGTGGGCACCATGTCCTCCCGGTTAAAGGTGAAGCAACTATATCCTGGGTTCCAAAATTGAATCAATGCTCGGAGCAGGGGCTCATCAGTCTTGACATGAAGTAAGAGGGCAATATCACCATATCGTTGGCTGAACTTCTGTTTTCTATCATTCTTCCAACTGTCCCAAATGTTTCGCAGCTCTTGTACATTGTTCTGTTTCAGGCTGACAAAAGCGTAGCTAACCACCTCTGACACATAGTTCCCCTGAAGATTGTCTCCCTTCTCTTTCTGAGTCATCTCGGACCATAGTCGTGCCTCGGCGTTCTTAATCTCTTGTATTACAACACCTTTGTCCATTAATTCAGATTATTTTGTGTGCAACAAACGCTTTTTAAGGATCAATAGCCTCTTGTTATGATGCAAATGCTAAAAAACACAAAAGAAAAAAGGTTAGTAAAATAAAAATAAGTAAATAAATAAATAAATAAATGACGAAAAAAAAACAAAAAGACATGGTTAAGGTAAAAACATCCTAGGTTTCAGAATGTGGTTTCAGGATAGGCTCTATTTCTCCATGGTCTCCCGGTTTAGGTTTTAAAAACGGTACCCGAGTTCTCCTTGCCGGTGCCCCATTGGGCTTACCAGACCCTTAGTCCTAAACCTATCACAAGCTTGACTAAGTTAAACTCGAGAGGACACATTCCCTTATGCCCGCACGGTGAATAAATTCACACGAAGACATAAGGTATATGAATCCCAAAGGCTACTTGCTAGGCCCGCACGGTGAATAAATTCACACGAAGGCGTCGCTTTGACCCCCACTTAAAATAGGGTTCGGAGCTCAGGTTTAGATCCTTAGATGAAAAATCTTTAAGAGCTGAAATCATTAGAAAACGGTTAGTGCGACTATTTACTCGAAAAATATAATCAAAAGTAAGCAATAAGGATCAAAATGTTACCTTAAAATTTAAACTTACCCTTTTCGTTAAAAAGACAACTGGAAATTACCTTAGCCTGACTCACTTACCTGTCTCCCCAGCGGAGTCGCCAAGCTGTCGTAACCGTCTTTCGGTTGGGCCCCGAAATTGGGCTTCGACTTGAAAAATGTGGATTGGAGTCGCCACTGATCTTTTATTTTAAAATGAATGTGTAGATTGGATACCTTATTTCTTACCTGATCTGCGTCTTACCAAAGATGTGTCGGATTCGGGAGTCGGTTACAGTCAAGGAAGGGTTAGCACCCTTGCACTGCCCTTTCGGTACTACATAATTCCCAGTTGTCTTAAATTAAGAGAATTGAAAGTTTAAATTAAAAGGTAAAATAGCGATCCCAATTACTTACCTCTAACCGTTTTGAAAACGTACCCTTAAGAAATCAAGAAATATATTAGAATAACAAAGGTGATGAGGACAAAGCGAAGATAGAGAAAGTAAAACAAAGAAGAGAAAATAGGTAAATAACGACAAATAAAACAAAGACGAAATGGAAATGAAATGTACACAAAAGTTTTTTTAAAAAGAATAATAAAAAACAAAGAATATATACACATATATACAATGAATTATCATAATTAATATAATAGGTAAAAACGATAGTTTTAAAAAAATAGAGATATAAAATATTATGTAAAAATAAATAAATGTACACAAGTAAAAAATGAAATAAAGGAAAAAACAATTAATAGATATATATATAATAATAGACGTAAGAATAAAATATTAATAGCATATATATGTAATGATAGAGTATAATAGAAAATGACCAAACAGAGATAATCGTAACATACTTATAATACTAATAAATTTATAAAAAATATTTAAAATATGTACATATATAAACTGATATATAACATAAAAGAGATCAAATAAAAAAATGCATACAATGATACAGATAACGAAAGGAAGTAAAAAAAAATATATACATACATATAATGAAAAAGGACCAAATTATAAAAGAGGAAAACTGACAGAATTTAAAGAAATTCGAGGAGAATTGTGAAATTTCAGGGGTAAATTGAAATTAAATACGAATTGCGTGACCAAATTAGAATGAAATCGGGGTTTTAAAAATCAATTTTGGGGTCAATATAGAAGAGTTCAAAATCAGAGCGACCAAAAGCGAGTTAACCCATCTTGAAGCGAAAACACGCGGGTTAGCTAAGCGGGTCGGGTCAGTGCGCGGGTCCAACGGGTTTAGTATATAAGTTAAAATCTTTTAATAAAATTCATTTCTCTCTTCTCATCCCAAAAAACGCTCCCTCTCCATCCTTATTCTCTCTCGGTGTTCTTCAAAAATGAAGAACACCAACCCAGTTTTCCAGAAAATGGCCATCGGCCGCCCCCACGCCGCCTCGCCGCCGCCGTTCATCGGCGGCAAAACTTTTTTTTATTTCAAAGATCCCGAAAGCTCTTTCCACTCTCTTTTTAAAAATCAAAACTTTTTTAAAAAACAAAAGCCTCGGGTCTAGATCTGGGTTCAAAATCTCGAAACCCTTTCCCTTTGATCATCGGCGTAACCCACTCTTGGATTTTTTGAAGTCAGACGAAGGCAAAGCAAGAGGAAAAAGAAACGACATGCAAGGTAAAAAAAACAAAAATATTCACCTTTTATTTCTCTTCGAATCTGGTTACAAAGTAAAACTTTGAATCTGTTGTATCTCTCTTGATCTCTCGTAGTATATTGGGTGTATTTGTGTGTGTTCTTGTTGTTACAAACGAATCGATTACATGTATTTATAGTCTATGAAATACTATCTTTAACAGAGTTCTATTTGATTTCAAATTCTAATGCTCCTTGGTATCTTCTGTTATTTTGGTGTTGGTGTTCCTTGCGATCACGACGTCGAGGGAACCGGCTGTGAGAGGCGTGTTGTGCGAGGGAAACGTGAAGGACGAGGGGTCTTCGACGTGGAGAAGTCTTCAATGTGTGATGTGGCGCTGGTGGAGAAAGGATGAAACCCTATCTGGCTCATATCGTGGACCGTTGGATCACATC